CCCCCCCCCCCCCCCCCCCCCCCCCCCCCCGGCAATCGAAATTATAAAAAATAAAAATAATAAAAGTTGGGCCATCTTTCGATGACATTCCAGCTGAACGTCAGTAAGACACTGTTCCTCATACATATTTGTTCGTTAGAGGGGTTTTCACGCATTATTTGCATAAGAATGGGAGGGTGCTGAGAGAGTGCACTGGCAAATGCGGCATTGGCAGTGTCGGATGACTGAGCTGATAGGCTAGTAACAGTGGCAAAGACAAATGAATTTTTTTGTTGGTAATATCTGGTTTAGCGAGAAAATCCAAGACACAAATGGATTTAGAATGCGCGAAAGGGAAAAGGAAAAATGCTTCTTTTTTTTCAACTAATTTATGGTCCCATTCCGGAAGCACTGTTTCGTGCTTTACAAAATGCAATTATGCGATCATCACGTTGCAATTCTGTGAATATAAGGCAGTGATGTTGCAGCAGTATTCCGTTGTTGGTATCGGATGCAACCGGACGACAACTCTTTGTGGCAGCAGTAAAAAATGTGTGTATTGGAAGTATCCGTTCAATAAGCAGGAAGCTTCCGCCACCCGGCAAACCACCAATATGCCCTCCTGCAAAACGGGTATTTGTTTTGATCGGCCCCGAACTTTTTTTTTTACATTTTTTTTGCGATTATTTTTGGAAACGTCTCGCAAACGATTTGCTCAGGTTCATCAGCTTTGGTTTTTTTACAGTTTCTTTTTTTGCGTTTTTTTTTTTTGGAAACGTTTCATAAAAGATCCAAGTCCTCAGGTACTGTTACCCGAAAAAGCGGGAGAGGGGTAATTCTGCCCGATTTTCTTCGGTCCTTAGTACTCAAAGAGGAAATCTCACTCATTCTTTTCAAGCTTTCCTTACGCTTTTTTGCTGGAGGTCAGAAAGTGTAAGTGCTTTTTAACTTTTCTTAAGCGAAAAAGCTTTTCGTTGAATTTACGTGAAATTTTTATATTTAAGGTGCTGTACGGTGTTGTGCACCAGCCATGGATGCGACCGGACGATGTTAGGGAATTGCTATGGCGTCGCCACGCATACAATAACGCTATTATTTCGTTGCGCAGACATTTCAAGCAAGAATGTCAAGCAAAATCCACTTATGAAGGCATTACTTTATAGTTTAGCTTTGTTATTTTTTTTACCAAGTTCAGCTGGTACCACTGCGATTCATTCGTTCATTCGTTTCGATGGTAAATCGGTACTGACATATGTCAGGGAGTCAAACGCGCCATTAGTTTGCTTGTAAACAATTCTCGGAAGAATGACTCATCGATAGCCTTGCCAGCGGGTTCTCAAAGTTTGAGCTTATAGCTTTTAGAGGTCTGGGGATGAAAAATCGGTACAGACTGACACGCAGATGCACAGACAAATACACACACAACGAAAATGATAACAATTGCAATGTTCCCATGCGCAAGCGCAGCTAGGCCAGTTCCTTCGATCCTGAACATAGTTGCTGTTGGCATTTGCTACCAGTTGGGCTACTTCCGAGTGCCTTTGTCTCTTAGTGTAGACGAATATGGGGAAGGGTTTCGATTTTTTTATTAAGTTCTAATTTTTGTAAACTGTGATTCGATGAGCTATGGGCAAGCTTGATGGAGTTATAAGTAATACGCAGTTTTCGTGTTGTAAGCTAAAGATTTGATTTTATAACTGAAAATCTGCTCTCTCTGTAATCCCTTCATTTGTTTTCGTTTTTAATTGACATAAATATTTGCCTGAATTCTAAATCACCACCTCGTTATGGCTAAGCAGCTCCTGGAGCCCGTTGTATCCTTGTAAAAATATGGTTGCTACTGATTTTTTGCTACTATTTTGGCTGTTTCCGGGTGATTTGCAAAATAGCGAAGCGGCGAGGTTTCGCTTTTTCGATGTTTTGAATTGTTTCCGCATAAAAAAGGACCTAAGTTTGGCGTATCTGGAGCGTAATCACAACAATGAAATAATATATCCAAGCGAAAACACATCCTATTTATGAGAAATAGGCGAATGGGTATTTTTTAAGATAAGATGGAGCAGTTGGTTCGAGAAGAAAAGGAAGAATTCGATCGTTTGTTAGCGGAAAACGAAGAACGAAATCGAATGGCGGCAGAGTTCGTTATAAATTTGTCTTTTTTTTTGCAAACTGAGACTATCAAGTCTTTTCGTATTTTTGTTTTATCGCTGCCTTACGATGATTTTCGACTTATAGTAAAAGACTAGATCGAATTTGAGCCTGACTGTTCAAGGCTGTAGCCGTTGTACTGACGAGATCCATTTGCAATATCAGGATAAGATATATATGTATATATATATATACAAATTAATGGATTGAGACTTCTTTATCCTGTTTCTATTATATATAATACGTATATATTCACATAAGTAGTCCTGATTTCTTCCTATTTATAGTATGATTTCGTATTATTATTATTTCGTATTATTCGGTATTATTATTTTACACTGTTATTTCCTTTATATGTATTCAGTTCGCCTTCATCTGCTTATGAAGCTACTCTCATGTTGCATGCAATAGAAAAGTGATTTTTTTTTTAAATGGCTTCAAAAAAAACGGGACGACATGGTCGTACATTCTGTGTAATTTCGGTTCACAAGTGTGGAAAGCTTTCATTTTGATGTTCTGGATCCATTTTTTGGCAGTCTTTTTTATGATTAGTAGCAATGGCCTTTCTGCATAAACGTTTTGCAGTGACGCTGGGAGGGAGGAGGAGGGTGATCAGCGTTATATTGGGCTGAAAGTGTTGGGAAATGTCCAGCTTCTTACTGGGGCTTGATTTAGAAAAAGAGCAGAACGGGAAAAAGTTGCGATGGAGAAAATGGAGATGGAATATATAAGAAGTATTGAGGAAGAACTGCAAAGGAGAGAAGTGAATGTTAAGCAAAAAAAGCAAGAAGTTCTGGAAATGGTGATTTTATAGTTTTATTTATGTTATTTTTTTAATGCTATTTATATGAGATGTGTATTTACTGATAGTTTATTATTGCTTTAGGCATTAAGCATATTCTTTCGGCAATTTAAATTTGCAGGTGGCAAAGAGCAAGCATTTCATTACGGAGGATATTTTGGATGAAAAGCTCGAGGAGGCACTGGAGAATCCGGTTGTTTACGATTACGCGGTCGATTTAATGGGTAATAAGTACTACGCACCGATACCGGAAAAATACGTTAAAGGGACGCCGCCTCGTCAAAAAGGCCGTACCTACGATATTACACTTGGCATCGAACATTACAGTAAAATTGTCCCATATTCTGCTACAGGTGCTGATGGGAATGCTGAAATATCACCTGAATCAGGCGAAAGTATGAAGCAGCAAGCCTAGGACGTTATTTAAAACGTTGATTATTGTTAATTGAAATAGTGGAATAGAAGGACTGGAGTGTCATGTGTAAAAAAAAAAAAAAAAAAAGGAAGCGGGAAATATTAACTCTGCGTAAAAATGATTGCTAGGCTGGGAGAAAGTAATGGTCCTGTACGGTTGTTTCATTTGCTTCGATGGTAAATTAAGGCATGCCAGGGAGACAGACTGGCCATCACCATGCTTGTTGTAAGTAGCCCTTATGAGTGGAAGCCATCGACAGGCTAGCTAGCGGATGGTATTGACTTTTGACTTGATTAGATTGATTAGATCAAAATTTCCACTTTTCCCGCTTCCCAAAAGCAAAGTTTAAGAATCGGGAATTAATACAGTTCATTGCTTTTTTTTTTGAATCTGTGAATTTATATTGTTACGTTGTACAATGTGCTGTGAAAGATTAGGAGTTGTTTTTTTGTTTAAATTCTATTTTATTTAATTTCTAACTTTGTGTTTTAATTATTATGCTGTGTTCTAACACCTGTGGCTATGAATTTATTGATTTTCTATTCCAAATTCGTAGTTTAACTTCTGTGACAGGCGATACATACCGATTACAGCAGTAAATGAACAAAAACGAACTATCTTTTTGGCACCGGTCCAGCTATAACTTATATTCGAAAAAGCTCTGTTGCTTATCGTGAAGTTCAAAAATCTGAAATTAATAGGACCTATTATTTTTAATATTTTTGTTTTTTTTTTTGAATTTGCCCCTTGGGATGAGGTTTCATTGTCTTTTTAATCTGTGGGATGGTTCACATGGTCCACTTCTAAGCGCCTTCCCTCTCTTCTGAGCCACTCTTTTTTTTTTGCCTTCGTTCATGCCTGAGTATCATCTACCCTCCTTGTATTACCTGTTTTATGATGTCAATACTGTAGTAATGAATGGAGAAGTTGCCAGTGCTGCATCGATGGCGTGGCAGCAGACGTCGATGACATAGAGCTGCTCAAGTATTCAAGTAGATATATTGTGTAGGATAGCTGATCTATGCAAGCTAGTCATAGGGATTGGCTATGGAACCCAATAATATCATGTATCCTGACCTGTTTCACGATTTCTGCTCATTTCATGTTGTTTTTTTTTTAGATGAAAATAAAATGAGATTTTCGATCCTGTTTTTGGCGTGATCGAAAAATACGCGTTCTTTACGCTTGCAGTTTTATCGAATTTTTTTTTTTTTTTTTTTTTTTTTGAA